ATGCTTCCTAATCATGGTTAGATAAAAGTGAAGACCACACAAATATGATACAAATGGGACTATAAAACCACATCATTCATCTAACACGATGTGGGAAAACAAAAGGGTGAGGCAGGAAAGAACTGCAGTGCAGAATTTAATCCACCTTTTCATCCTTTGGATTGGGAAATACATGGGGGTTTTGTTTTTCACAGGAAGTAAACACTTTTCCTTGCTAATCTGGCAGTTAATTGGAAGATTCAACAACCTTATTTTCAGCAGCCACTGCCATTCTTTAGCATTATTGCTTTTCTGTAAAATTGAGATCTAAACTAACAGGGGTCACAGTATAGAGGATTTCTAACATTCTGTTTTTCTAGTTACTTCTCAGCAAGTTAAATGCTTTCTCATTATTTAGGTGCCATTGAAATACCCAAAAACTTTTAAGTCCATCAGAAGTTTTCTGAAAGCAGCTAATCACAAGGCATCGTGGCCTTTTGGAGCAGGACTAATGTCAGCATTCTTCCAGCAACCAGTGAAAACATCCTGCTCCCCAGAACATTTACTGGTTATCAAAGTTACTGAACAACTAAGCCATATCCATGAATAGTGAGATGGAAAACTCTATTATCTAAGAATATCAGGCACAACATTAGGAATAATAAGTTACTGGTGAAAATATTTAATCAGTGGGATTTCTTAAATTAATGTAACAAAAAGGACAAAATAAGTTCATAGTTGTCTGTGGAAAGCATGGGAAACTGTCAGTTAAAACCCTGTCCAGCAACTAGAAAAGGTCATTCTTCTACTCCTCAAATCCAGCATCACAGGACAGTCAGAGATGCCAAGCTAGGAAGGGTACACAATGGACAGAGATGGAAGGACAGATCTAGACTGATAAAACTGAGGCTCACAGCTAGCATTCAGTTCTCCCAATCTTTTAAAGATCAGAAAATCTTGACAGAAGCATCCTTGCAGGTGCAGAGCTCACTGGACCTACCTGAGGTCATGCTGCCATGGGGAGGCAGTGAGAGCAGTGCAGGTTGGCAGCAAGACACTTCAAAGAGTTTGACAGGTGAGTGGCAGCTGTGAATAATCTGCTCCTAAGAGGTCTCAAAAAGAAAATGAGCCTTTAATTTCAGAGTCTGTAATAGCTACAGTCTGAGAAAGAGATTTTTCAGCCAGTACTGAGCAGGACTTGTTCAGTAAATATGTTTGGAGATAATGAGTGTATGTGATACTTCCATGTCTCATAAATGCTATGAAAAGGTTAGAAATAACTTGCTGATAATACACTGGCCATAACTTAACATAATAAAACACCACTTCTGCCTGAAATAGGCTGTATTCAATAGGCCACAACCTGTTCTCTTCAGGAAGTCACTAACAGCAAAGCAGAAATCTTCACAGGAATCTTTGTGTGACAGCAAGACACAGCCACTTTGGAGCATGCTTGTGGCTCAAAAGTGTGACTCAAACCAATGCAAAGCTAAAACTACAGTGTTTGAGTGGGCTTTTCTTTCAGGAATTGAAAGCCAAGCCCCTGCTTCCACTCTATCCTCCCTTGAACAGCTCTGGAACTGCAGCACAAATTACCACTGCCCAAGCCTTCTCCTGAGGCCCTGCTGTCTGCCAAACTACTCAGACAGTGCTTTGGCAAAATGCTGGCTTCAATTCCTGTCCTAGCACAGCTTTCTAGAGCCTCAGGGAAGGCATAATTCAAAAGAAGCACTGATTAGCAGCCTGATCTGCTCAACACAAAGTTTCCATTCAAAAAGCCTGCTGTTTTTCAACCTGAGATGCCAAAAATATTTATCTCACTGCTCAGATCAGAATCCTGTAATACAGCATGAATTATAGTTAAATCCTGATACACAGCAAAGACTCCTGAGATAAACAGCACAGCAAACCAGAATTTCTTACACTAATTGGTGTTATATAGGAATATATGAGCAAAGAAAGCAAAAAGCAGCACAAGTCTAATGCCACAGTTTGCCCATACCTTTCCTTTTAGTTATTCCCAGATGGAGGGAGGGGCCCAAGATGGCTGTAGAGTAAAGCCTCATCTGAAACCTGGCAGCTGTTGCCAGCTTTTCATGCTGTAGGTGCCTTCCTAAAGAATTCTTTCATAACATTTCATGCACACAAAGCATCCTCAAGTTTCACTTGAACTGACCTACAGTAACAGGCAATTCCCTACCTCTACCCTTAGAAGCCTTCAATTAAAATTCAGAATGTTCTGTCTATAGCTAATAAATGGCTTAGGCAGCAGTGAGCTTACAGAACAAGCACCTCTATAACCTAAGTTCCAGAAAAAATACACAAAGCTTTTCTATGAAAATAAACTGCCAGTCAGAATGCTCTAATTGATCCAAGCAGTGCAGGTTTCCTGTTGAAAACTGTCAGGGAAACGTGTATGCAATTATTACACCATACAGTGCATACAGACTGTGCTGGCTTGGTGAGACACCAAATAGAAATGTTGTATGCTTGTGAGGAACTCAAAAATCTCACACAAACTGCCAAACCAACTTCACAGAACAATTGTACACCATAACTGAGAGAGGCATCAAACCTCTGAAATGAAGAATGGAATAGAAAAGTAAGTAATAGGAACAAGTCACAACAAAATGGGAGTATGCAATGGCACTGTCCCACAAGAGTTTCTATATGAAAAGTCTCATTAAAGTAGGTGCTGGTGTTTCATCTTCTGCTAAAAGACTGCAGCATTTGGTTTGACTTTAAATCAGTGCATGTGATTTGCTACAGAAGAAACTAAGAATCCAATAATGAGATTTCAGTCTCAAAAATAAATTAAGTTTGTGAAAAAAGAAAATCTCAGCACTAATCAGTACAGCTGGAGTGCCTATAGTGGAGCTGTGCTAACCAACCCACTCCCTCCTAGAGAATTGCCTCACCAAGATCCCAGTTTTTCTATTTATAACAACACTTGCATCACAATGTATCAAAACAGGTTTTTTAAAAAGAAATTTTATCCCTATGTCACAGCATTTAAACAAATTCAGAAGCAGGAACTACACTGTTTCTTAGTTATGAAGTAAAACATTTTAGAAGACCAAATAAAAGTTACTCTTTTTTCTCCTTCCCATTGTCTAGAGCTTATTTTTCTCCTCCTACTAAGATACTTCCAGATCTTTTTCCATTAACTGCTTTTAAGATTTTTTGAGGTCATTCTAAGTTTTCTATAGATTCAGAATTTTTATTTGTCTTCTTTTTTTTTAACTTTTTTTTCTTAAGGAGAAAAAGTTACTATTTCTCTTTAATGCCATTGTTAGTGACATGCTTAAAGAAGCCTAGCTGAATTAGATTCCCAGCTTGTTTTTACCAGGCTTAATTACTAAGGCTATTTTGTTTAAGACTGTTATAAATGAAAGACATGTGGGAAACATGCAATTATACTGAAATCCAGGAAGACTATGGTGAAGGAAAGGGTAGCAGCACCAAATGCTAGCATATTGTTTTGCAGTGTAAAAAAAATTCCAACATTATCAAAACTTAATCCTCAAATAACTTATGCTATTAGAAAACATTGCACTAAAATGTGCTAGAAATAGTTTGTGTAACACATTCAAAATGCACATGTAATGCAATAAATGAAAGTATTATGTAACAGTAAATTACAGTGAAGCAGCTACAACAACCAAGCTATCCAAACAGCACAGGAAAAACAAAAACAGAAAGCCAAGCATCACTGTTTACAAAATCCTTTTTCCCATTTATTTTATATAAACTTTTCATACACTGGGGATGACTATAAGGAAACAGTAAGAAAATATGTTTATTGAACTACATTTATTAATGTCTCACTTCTCTGTCATAAACACAAGTCATCTGTTGATCTGGAGGAGAAAAGTCATCTTAAGACATTCAATGCTAGACATCAAATAAAACCCTGGGAAAGCCTTGTGACCTCCAGAGAAGTGGAGAAGAATACTGTTTTCTGTTCTCTGAACAACTCCTCCTTGGTTATTTGCAGTCTATAAAAACTGGAGTTTTGGTTCATGATTAGAAAAATGCTGGTAAACACATGGCTAGAAAGGATGCTTGATTACAAAATCATGCTTGGGGTGGCATGGCATGACTTAGTCAGGTGGGTACATATATTCTGAGTTTCTTCCAAAGGAGAAACAAAACACAGGAATAACAGCCCACCTTCCTATTGCTTTTATGATAATTAATTTTAAGATTGAAGTTGTTACTATATGATTGAACAAGGAATGTGAACTAGATGAGCTCTCATGGTTCCTTGCTAGTCAATCTTTTTTATAATTAAAAATAACAGCCTGTGCAACACACCACATTCATGCATTTTATCATCCCTTTAGCAAACATGGTAACAAACACGTTGGTGCACAGGGCAGCTAAAAACCCTGTCATTCTAAAGGACTGTTCTATTCAGTATAATTTATCTTTAAATGCTAATAGGAACACAGGAAGAAACAGAGGGGGGAAAAATTCAAGCAGTGCAATATTTGAAAATACTGAGTTATTTTGTTCAGTATTTTAAATGTTTTTTGCACAGCACACTCTACTATCAGGGGTCTAATTGTACCTTCCCTGCAGAACAAGTTTGCCACAGAAGACAATGTAGGCTGATGATTTGGGACCGGAACAGGCGTCTTAGGGCTCCTGGATCGAGACATGGCTCACTGCAGTCATTTATTTATTTTGTTAATAAACTTCCCCTGGTTTGTATTTAAGTCTGACTGATTTATTTATGAAAAGCAATGATAAATGCATACAAAAGAGCTGCAGTTTTGTCATTTAACCCCAAAGTCTGTGTTACATAACCCAAGTGTACTCCCCAGCTTTACTTTTCCCTCTAGAACAGGAGGATGCAGCAATGCTGAACTCTCAAAATCAGAATATTCCAGGCAGCTTGTTAAAGTGCAGCAACAGTGTTTCAAAACTCTGAACAGAACAGCTGGCACAGTCAGCTCAAGGAAAACAATGTGATAAATCTTCTGAAAATAAACAGAGAAGAGAAAGTGTTTACATACCTAGGTTTAACAGCTGTGAATGGATCTGTAGTTTTCCAAATGTGCTTCACTGACAAGTTTCCTGACACAGGTCAGATCTCTTGAATACCATAGTCATGCAAAAAGTGCCATTTCTCATCTACAGGAAGCATCAGCAGAGAAAGAAATAAAACCAAAACAGTGTAGTTCAGACTAATAGTTCTAACATTCACAGGGCATGGGAAGCTGCCAGCCCCACACAAGCACCCTCCCCACCTAATTACATTCAGCTGCTTGTCATGTGGTCTTGCTGACCGATCAAGTGATCTCTTTTCCCCCTTTTAAAGTTAGCAAAGTAGCTAACTAGATCTCCCTAAACCAGGTAATACACCTCGAACCTCTGCATCAACTACTGACCCTCCTCCTTGTCTTAGGGAGAGCAAGGAGCAAGGTGTGAGCACAACTTTTTCTAAGTATACCAAAAAAATAAAATACAGCAAACACAGTAGTCTCTTATATTGAAATTTATATTGAATAATATATTGAAATACAGAGAGCACCGAAGTTCCCCAAACTGGTTTTACTTCTCACCTTTACAGACAGCAGAAAAAGCTACTGATTACAAAACTGGCAAAGACACCACAGAGAGAGACCATGTGAGCAGAATCTGGAAGGATTTGGGAGGACAGTGGCAGCTGTACCTTTGGGCATTGTAGGCATCTGTGTCCAGTGCTTTCTGCTGAACCACTTCTGATGGCAACAAGCTCCAAGAAGAGATCAGAGTGAGGATGTTGCCAGAAACTTTCTGAAACACAGACACTGAACCTACAAGCTCCTGTCCCTGCACGGTCCTAAGAGACACATGCAGACATTTTAAACATTTAAATAACTTCAAGGATATAAAGCTACTGCTTTAACATGTAAACCAGCTCTTCAATGAGCCAGTTCACAAGAGCCAGAATCCACAGGTCTGCCCCAGTTTCAGCACCAGTGTCTGCACCAGGCACTCACTGCATGGAGAGCCCTGCACTGGGATGAGACAGGACCTTCACAGCTCCACGAGGGGGTCCCCTCTCAGACTCCCCAACATTAGAGATGCTCACAGGAGAGCACTGAAAGCTGTGGACAAAGCAACTTTTGCACTCACCGTGTAAGATTGAGCTGATGTGAGCTTTTGCAGACAAGTGTCCTTGCACAATCCTTTCTTGTCTCAGTTTCTTTCCTCAAGCTGCTTCAAGAGCAGCAAAGAAAGGAAATTAAGGTGGTGTCTCCAGCTAGTCTCCAATCTTATAATTTAAGAAGTGCTGCAGACGGGCTGCTACAAATATTTAACATATGGATTCATCTACCAGTAACAAAGACAACTCCACAAGCTTCTTAACTCTCACTTGTTTCAGTGCTCAACTATCTTGACTCTTTTCATGTGAATCAAGGCAATTTTTTTCCTTGCCCTGGTGAATATCTAAGTTGTATTATACAGAGCTGGAACACTTTTTCATGCCCTGCCTTAGCATTTTTCCAGCATTAACTAAAATCCATTTCTTTGACATTTGCTTACAGGTTGTAATTTTTTAAAACTCTATCCATTCTTGGCTCAATCCAATCTTCTGAAAATTTCACCAGTTTTAGAGGAAAAGGCCCTTTTTTTTGCTCCCACATGCAATTAAAAAACAGAATTGTGCTCAATTTTCAGCAACATGCACATTTTTAATCTTTAACTGCTTGCTTCCTTGATCAATACCAGCACATTTGCTTAAGTGTGAAGAAATATTCAGACCACAAGCACACTAGAATGTCTGCTAACTGCTCCAGAGTGCAGAAGGAGGAACAGGATAAGAAGTGTTGACAGACAAAGCAGCAGCTCTCCTGCCATGTTGCAAGCAGCCCTGGGGGGTAACTGCACACACACTAAGCACAAACTGTCTGGAAACCTCAACTTCAATCTCTCTCAATGTAAATGGAGTTCAAACTCTTCCATATAGTCAGATGTTTGCCATCTTTAATGGGAAAACAATTCATAAATAATCCCCAGACTTCAGTGTTTTATTTCAGGATGAAATGAGGCTGCTCAACTTGTCTCTTACCAACTTGGTGTGAGGGACACCAACTAATCCTTCCTTCCTTCCTTCCAGGCAAGTGTTTTATCCACAACAGTAAGACTTTGCCAGAAAGGTACAGCTGAAATAAAGCTTTCTTTGTGAGGGTGAAGTTATGCTGATTTCAAACTAGGAGTTATAAACTGGAAGGACATCAATATTTGGTTATTTATAATCTCTGTTTTTCAACAAACACGTTTGCAGCCTCTCAGCAAGTGCTGCACAGGCAGCTGAGGCAGCCCTGCTGTGGTGGCAGGAAGCAAACACGAACCAAGAGCTACAGCTGGAACAGGAACCACTGCAGGCAGCCCAAGGTGAGCCTTCCTCCCACTGCTACCCCAGGCCTAGGGGCTGAAGGAGCTTGGACAATTTCTTACTTTATGTAGGGCATCAAAATTACTGAAACTGTGAAATGTAGTTTTAAAGCTCCAGCCCTACAAAGGAATACCTATCTACTCAGTTACTCAATATTCCCAATGTTTTTACAAATTTTATGAACAAGATGATCTGGATGCATGGAATTTATGGTTTACTTGTAAAACTTTTCTATGCTTTACAGGCCTAGGAATTCAGGAGAAAATTTGAGGAGTTAAACACAGTGAACAGTGTGGAGCATTCTTTAGTATAAGCATCAGAATATTTGCCTTCACACACTCCTTGAGAAAAGTTGCAGGTGTCCAAACTGTCCTGTAGCAGATGTTTCTACTGTAAGAAAAATGCTGGATTGTTACCTGCCTGCAGAAATAAAGACATCTGCCACTGGAGACAGGAATAGGAGAAGAATTGGATCTAGTAACAGCCCATTTCAGATAATGCTACAGAACACATCCCTGTTTCCAAAGCCAAGAGCAGTGCCTAACATCAGTGTCATCTGCCCCTGCTCTGCAGTAGCATGCCAGTACTTCAGGGCAGGACTGAAAGGACAAGATAAATTCCATATAAAAGACTTTTTTCTTTTGCTTTCCTCACACCAATATCCTTTAAAAATTTTAAAAAAAAGACAACCCACACTAACAAAATCAGCTTTCACATCAGAACTGTTATAGCTGAACTTTGCCAGGATCAAATCATGAAATATCCCTTGAGTGATTAAAATAAAAGTAGGTCAGGCAGGTCTTCCTGCTACCCATAGGCACAACTGCTAAATATTTAGCAATATTATAGAGTAAAGTAAAACTTTCATTATGTTCTTTCAACTGTAAGCCAATCTAGGCAATTTCTAGTAATGGGGACAGAGCTTTCTTCTAGCATTGCATGTGAGAAAGCATTGGCATATTTAAGATCTGTAGCATTTTAGTAATGGGGACAGAGCTTTCTTCTAGCATTGCATGTGATAAAGCATTGGCATATTTAAGATCTGTAGCATTTTACATAAAAAGGAGGTTCTTAAAAACAATCCACTCCAAGAGAGTCTCCAGATAACTAACTTGCAAGAATTACCAGGGTCTCTTCAACAATAAAAAGTTAACAGTAAAATAATCAACAAATGAAAAGCATCAATTTTGCTTTCATGGAACATCATACTGCCTAAAGACAGGAATCCTTTGCAGCTGCTCGGTACTCAGCACTTCAAAAAACTTTAGACCAAACTCTGTCATCAGAAAAAAACATCAAAAGACTGCTTCCCAAATGAGATTTATATATGGTTATATTTGACCTCAGAAAAGATTAGTAAAATTATCCCAAACGAGTGATTCTAATTGATCTGTCAATTCTGTCAAAACTGCAATCCTCTGCCTCCACACCACTTTGTATTATGCAGTCTGTCCCAAGGCAAAGCCAAGTGGAGATGCTTATTCCAGATCTGAATCAAAAGGGGAAGGAAAGAACCCTTTAATATTTGAATCAGGTTCTCTCTTATTACAGTTCTGAAATATCAGAAAGCAAACAGTATTAAAAAATACTGTTGTACATGTCCCTGTATAAGATGGTACAACACCAAGAAATGGTCAAACCAGGTTTATTTAAAATAGCAATAAAAAGTGTATGAATAAACATTATTATTTGTTTTGAGTGAAATGAGCAAATGTGATCATTTTGTATGCAGGAAATGGTATTTTGGCAACATTCACACTACTCAAGTTACATAATCTGTGCTCAAAAGCACATTTAACCTAAAGATGGATGAATTATGATGTGCTACAGTTCTTCTGTGAGACTGTGTTGGTTCACATTTTGTAAGACCTATGCAGTGCAGGCCTGAGTGCATGAAGAGAGCACCTGGAGCAGCCCTGCACTGGGTGAGGAGCTGTAAAAGCACACCAATAATCTGATGTCTCTATCTTCAGCCTGAAGAGCTACAAACCTCATTTTAGATCAATGATCTTTATCTGCTTTAAAGGGTTGATGACTAAGTGAGCTTTTTTAATTAAAAAACAGTTTCTTTACAGGAAGCTGCTGTGCCCATTTAAAGGAACATGTGCACTACAGCTACCTAAGAAAGGATTTTCAATGTTTTACAATCCTATATCAATACACCTTTGAAAGTTTCTGTCATATTTTTCTCCACACTTCAGCTTCATTGATATATGTTTATTCTTGGCACTATCTGAGTTATTTGAAAACCAATCTCAGCAGTGCTGGGTTTGCTTTCCAGCACAAGATTCTGTTCACATCTTTTCTGATCTACTTAATAGGGCAAGTGGTTCATCATTGTCCTCACAAGCTGTCAACAGTGCCTTTTGCACTTTAACTCTGCTCTCAGGAGGAAAAATGGAAAGGTTAATTATGTGAACTATGTGGCAGACAGAGAAGTCTGCTGCTTCTGAGCTACAGCAAAGTATTGCTTCCTCAGTGTGTTGTTTGATCTTCCATGCAATAAAGCACATGAAACCAAATTAAACACCTGTGATGCCTATTTTTTTCTATCATTTCTTAAAGCATGAGCACCATTAATATGAGAGCTCCTTCATATTCCCATTTATTCAGTGACTCCCCAGGTTAACTAACCTGACTGGTTGATCTGCCTTCCCTCAGGGTGTGCAGGAGGAAGGGGTGGGCTTAGAAAGGTGGTGATTCTGCAGTACATTACCAAAGTAGGGCCTTCAGTTCCATTGGCCCCATT